TCATTCCTCTCAATGTGGTATGACTTCTTTTATGTTTGTGTTCAAGTTTCTTCCAAGAGACAGTGTTATCAAGCATGCACAGGTACAAATTAGGTATGCAAAGCTGGGCAAATGAAAATACATTAAAAAAAAAAAAAAAAGGTGTTTTTTTTTTTGTTTGTTTGTTTTTTTTTTTTTTTTTTTTTTTTTTTGTTTCTTTGTTTGTTTTTGGTGGTTGTTGTTTTAAAATTTGCCTCCAGGTAAATATTTTTTGTAACTTTGACCTTCTTGGAGCAGTGGCCACTCTTCCAAAGTACTGAAAGATTACTCTCAATGGAGAAACAATCAAAGTGCGCAGTGGTAAATCACTGTTCAGATGTTTCGTTCATGCAGCTGCTCTTTCTAAGGGGAGTGGGTGTGTATGCTACTGCCCTGGTACTGTCATCTGCCTTGTTCCCAGTAAAATTCTCCTATGTCTCTTCACTTTATAAGGGAATCTAATCTGATATTTACATAACTGCTAGTGATATATATATATATATATATATATATATTACTTAATTTCACCCTTTTGTTTCACTCATATTAAAAGTTTGTCTGAGGAAAGAACCGGCAGAACATCAGCTATGGGGAAAAAGTAGTAATTCAGTTGTAACTCCTTCAAAGCTTTTCATATTCAAAGTAAGAGTCTTTTAATGACTTAATACTGCAATAATTTATACAATTTCTGCAGGAATTATCCTAAAGAAAATCATCTTTTGTTATTTTTGTAATAACTGTTGATCTCTTCACAGCTAGTGTGATACATTTTATTTTAGGAAGAATCCTCATCTTTTTGCAGTTATGTAATATGGATGTTGTAAGAAAGGCTGCTAAGAAAATGCCATAATGTGAGTACATCCTGAAAGACAAACAACAGCATTTTGAGGAAGAAAATTGTATAAACCCATTCCACAACTGCTGTGTTGTAAAGGTCTCTGGTACTCTACTCTTGATGTAACAAGACACTGACAGGAGGAAATGAAATGCAAAAGAGAAGAGACTATCTATTTTAAGAATACATTTAGATGAACTTTTAACTTTGGAATTACGAAGATAGCATGTATTTAGACCTTGTAAGGAATTGTTTCAGTTTTCACAAATCAGTATTTACCTATATATAAGCTGGCTACCAGCATTAAATTTGGCACAATTGTCTGTAGTGGTGCCCCTGGCTGAAAAGATATATATATATTTTTTAATGCAAATTTGACGCAGTTGTACGGCCAAGCTTGATAGAATCAAAGAATCATTAAGATTGGAAAAGGCATCTAAGATCATCTAGTTCAAACTGCTGGTCTCTTTTCTGGCTTCTGTCTATTGATTTCAAACCATCATCTGACTCTACAAATGAAATATTTTCAACTCATTTGAAAGAAAGGGGATCAAATCTACTATCTTTCTTCCGCTTCTGCTTATTTGACCTAAAATATCAGAAGTCAGGAGGCAGAAAACAACCCTGTTTCCAGGGTCTTCTGGAAACAGTGTGTTAATCAGGTTAGCTAATGCTGTGAGACCCAGGAACAGCAAAGAAGGAAGTATTGAGGGTTTTGGAATGCACAATCCAAGTGATAACAAATATCAACTTGAATGTAGATATAGTGAATGCAGTATTTCTATGTGCATTTACAGTGAATGAATGGCCTGTGTTTTTTTTAATTGACAAGATAAGAAAAAAGGCTCATTTTTCTTCTCAACCTTTTCTTTGACAGATTCTGTGATCCATCCCTTAATTTCCTAAGAGCTTATGGAGGAAAAATGTTCATATTCACAAATCACAGTCATGAAATATGTAAAATTCCTTTTTTTTTTTTTTTTTTTTTTTGAAATGGATAACTATTTTTCTACTAGGTACCATATTTACTACATCAGTGGAAGTGTCTGGAATATGAGAAAATAATCTCTAGTGCCCTGTTCAAAAACAGCTGTGTAAAACAAGCACTTTCATGGACTCCTTATTTTTCCCTCCACTACTCCCCCCCATGAATTATCAGTGTTGTTTCCTCTCCACCTCCTCCCCTGCCAAAGGGAGCAGTTTATGACTCTGACACAAATCTTAGTATCTGTCATGTTTCTGCTCTTCAACTTCATGCATGTCAGCTAGAATCTTTGCATGACTATTAAAATACAAAATTCTGTCTACATGTCAGCTTCCTTTGGAGTTAGTTTAGTCCTTGCAACCCTTGCATGCTAGCAGAAGCAAAATCAAAATTATCTCTTCCTTGGAATTGCATTTCATACATCTCCATCTTTGTCATAGCACTGAAAACATTAAGTAGCAGTTGGCTCTGATACGCTTGCACAGACACAAATTGAGTCCGACAGGACTGATGTCTCATGGACTTCGCTGTCATTTGAAATGCTGGCATGAGAATGGTAGCAATGAAAGGGGGGAGCTGGTGTCTTCAACACTTTCTCTGTGAAGATTTCTTAGATTTGTATTTTTTGATAGCAGAAGCTGATTGAAGAGAGAATTTAACAAAAGAGATTCATAACAGCACTAGTTTTCTAACAGCTGCTCCTGTCTTTTCTTCCTTCTTGAGCAGATTCTTTGAACATTGTGCTGTACTTTAAAATGGGCTGTTTATACCACCCACAAATCTGTAAGATCTATCTAGTGGAATGGCAATTAGTATAATTTTTCTCCTCCCTTTTAGTTTTTATCTTCGATGCTTAGAAACTACTTGTGTGGTAATGAAAAAGATAGCATCTGCTGTCTTTATTGTGCTTAAGCTAGACTTCATACTTGCCAAAGTTTATGTGTTGTAGGCCCTTGGAAAAGTATTTCAGTGACAATCATAGAATCATAAAATGGTTGGAAGAGACCTTTGAGAATATCTTGTTCCAATCTCCCTGCTTGGAAGAGACATTTGAGATTATCTAGTTGCAATCTCCCTGCTGTAGGCAGGGACACCTTCCTGTAGACCACGCTGCTCAAAGCCCCACCTAGTCTGCCCTTAAATACTTTCAGGGAGGGGACATCCACAAACTCTCAGGGCAACATGTTCTCACCACTCTCATATGAAAGAATTTCTTCCTGATATTTAGTATATATCCACCCTCTTCCAATTGAAAACCATTTCCCTTTATCCTATTGCTACGTGCCCTTCTAAAAGATCCCTTCCCAGTTTTCCTGTAGATCCCCTTGGAAGGCCACAGTAAGGTTGCCCTGGAGCTTTCTCCTCCAGGCTAAACCTCCCCAAACCTTCTCAGCCTGTCCTCATAAGGGAGATGCTCCAGCCCTCTTGTCAACTTTGTGGCTCTCCTCTGGACCTGTTCCAACAGTTCTTGAGTTGGGGGCCCCTACTCCAGCTCAGTGGTCATGAAAGCAGAGTAGAGGGAATTAGAGAATCATCTCCCTTTACCTGTTGGCCAAGTTTCTCTTGACATAACCCAAAATACAGTTGGCTTCTGGGCTGCAAGCACACACTGCCAGTTCATGTTAGATCTTTGTCAACAGTTTACGGGCTGGTTTGGTTCAGTTCCATGACTAGTGGGGCGGAGGGATTTTGCAAAATCCACTCCTCTGGAAAAGGGAAACAGGGGACCCAAAAATAATTTAAAACAGTGGCAACAATCTGAGGAGAAACAAACTAATTTACTAAATATAGTATCGGAATGCAATGTAGCACACTATAATACAATTTAATTAGAATTGAAGCTAATAAATCAAATATAATGAGAGAGAGAGAATGTCTGAAAGGTGGAAAGACCTCTCCATAACATTGAAGTGAGATGTGCAGTCAGGTTGAGCAGCAGGGAGATGAAGAAGAACAGACTATGAAGAGCACATCAGGTGACCTTACCTTGGGGTTATATCTCCTCTCTGACTGCAAAGCCACCTGGGGAATGTAGTTCTTCTCTTCCAGACAAGTATCCGGAACTTGAGCATTAACAGTTAAAGTCTCAGTGCACTACATGATGTTATGATGTAGAATACCGATAACCAATAATCATAAAACCATGACAGTCTTTCATCAGCTGACACCCTGAAATTCTTCCCAGGGTTGCTCTCAAGCTATGCTCCGCCTGACCTGCGTCTGTGCTTGGGATTGGCCCTACCCAGGTGCAGGAACTTGCACTTGACTTTGCTGAACTTCACAAGGCTGACAATGGACCCTCTTCTCAAGCCTATCCAGGTCCCTCTGGATGGCATAATAATCTCCAAGTAGCCTGACAACATAATCAGGTTATTTGGAGATATCACTATTATTTTTATGTTTTTAAATTTCTATCATTGCTTAGATGCAATGAGCTTATAATGAGCATAGCACTGCTTTTTAAAGGCAGGTACTTGAGTTATAGCTCTTTCACCATATCATATCCAGTTGTGGATCACAGTAAATGAGGTTGTACATACTCGAATCTCATCTGTTTATTTAATGCTAGATTTTTTATTTTTATTTTTATTTTAATGCTTAGCATAATTCACACATGTAGAGGAAATTACAACAGGAATTTTGACCCCCAGGAATTGTTTAATATGATAGCACTTGGTGTCTGTCTGTTAGAATGCCTCGTGAAGTAGATTTAATTGTGTTATTCCTACCAGACTCCAAAGCATTAACTCTCAGTATGCTGTTTGCAAATGGACTTTTATCCATTTACTGAATCCACTTTGAATCCCTTCTTGTAAAATGAGTGTTCCGGTGCTGTATTACATACTTCATTAAAAATGACGATTCATATGATTCAAAAAGTGTTGTGGAGTAGAAGACAATTCAGGGAGCCTTGAATCCTTGAAATCCTTGAATCCTTGAAAAAGTACACTGCAAAATGCATTGGACATACGAACATATACTGTATGTTCTGTCTTTTCATACACACCAATAGCATGAACCAAGTTCCTTTTCTTTCATTCTTACCCTTTTGTCTACTAAAACATTTGCTTTGTTCCAATTTGCAAATGTTGAGAAAAATTGGACAATTTCTGCCCTATACCTGCTAACCATATTTCTCTCTTTCTTTTATCTGTTCCACAGGCTCTGAAAATATTTCATCTGAAATTTCAGACTGGACAGACTCACAGTGGCTTCTGAGCCAGTGAGAACGAGGCTGCCAAAGCATGCTGGTGCCAAGCTGTTGGATGATGCACGTAGTCAGGCCAGTGGTGGTGCTCCTGTGCTTGCTACTCTATGCTGATGCTGAAAGTAAGCTTATTGTTCATTTGTGCCTAGATCTTGGCCAGGATAAACAAACAGTTTTGTTTTCATCTGGTGTTTACTATGTGTCTCTGAATGAGCCTCTTTTTGATTAATTCTTAAAACACTGTAAGATACTCTCTAGATCACAGCCAGTATTTGAAAAGGATTATTTATGGTACTTCCTTACCATTCTTCTAAAAGCCTCTTTTCTTAAGCAACTAATGGTCCCTCTTGGATGCGAAGACTGTTGCTATAATGTTATGTAGTAGAAACAAAGACCAGTTTTACTCGACAAACATACATTACATTTGTTTGATGCATCTGTCATTCCTTAACTATTTATTTCTTTGATTTGATTAAAAAGAAAAAAAGCACCACCACCCTTTTCCCCCCCGCAATTAATATTCATTGCAATTAAAATTCCAGGTCTTTGTAACTACAACAACAGCTGTTGTAATTTATTATTTCTGACAGCTGTTGTGGAGTACAGTATCCAAACAAATCATGTAGAACTGACAACTTAGTGGCTGGCCCAAATATGTGACAATTTAGTTGGAAAATACAACTATGTTCACTTGTACTTAGGGAAGGGAGGGAACTATTGGATTTTGGTCAATTAGTTTGACTATTTTTTTTTTTGGTAAATCACTAGGGCTACCTTGTCTACACGTGCTGTTTCTCCTAGCTGTCCTGTGACTTCTTGAGAAATAATGTACAAATGCAAAAAGTGAGGTTTACTACAGACTGACTTGTTCAGTTGATTCAGGGATATTTTTCAGTAGATATTTGTGATTCTGTACACCAATCAACAACTTCATTACAACGCTGACTTTTGAAGACTTGTATTTTTCTATGCATGTTTGTAAAACAAAGGAGCAGTTGAAATAAGTAGTAACATAAAACACAAAATCAACGTAAGTAACATTAGATAAGTAGGTTCTCAGTAAAGGCATGTTGAAGAGCTTCTTATCACTCTACCTGCACTCCAGGTATACTAAGTTATAGCAATGTAAGAGATGCAAAATTTTTCCAATTCTATCCATAATAAGACTGTTCTTAAAACTATAATAATATGAAAGTTAAAATAAATGAAAAAAAAATATGAGCAAAATGTACATATTTGTAGATTACTGACAGTTGAGATTCTTTGGTATCTTTCCAGGTAGATAATCAATTGGAATAATTGTATCTAAGTTGAAGCCAAGGACATTTTAACATTATAGCCAGCAAAGTATTAATTAGGAAAAGGGCCCGTGTGCTGGCAGTTTCTGGAGTAATAGCATATTACCTATTTTAAAAGTAAATTCTTAGCTTAGGAAATACAGATTTTATAGTCTTGTATACCTTTTCTGTTTCAGGTAATAGAATAGCTAACCTCCAGTAGACTAAAATATAATTATTTTTGTTTTGTCTTTGGTCAGGTATTAATTTGCAAAAAGACAGTCAGAATCTAGAATATTCTTTAGTCCTGGAGGAGGGAGGTGAGGGGGATGGTAGGGGTGAGAGTAGTTTTTTCTAAGAATAGTGTGGCATTTAGTTTAAAAATAGCTAGTTTATTTAACTACTCACTACCTTATTTAAGAAAACTCTATTGTGATTCTTACTAATTTTAAATAAAACAAAACAGAAAAGAAATTGTCTTTTGTCCTTTGCTACTTGAGTTAGAAGGACTTCCCAGTGTAGCTAGAATTGATGGAGTCTCATGCAGTAAATGTATGAAAAGCAACATGTTTTTATGTGAGAGATACTCTTGTTGAAAACAGCCTGGACATAACGTCTGAAATAGATACAGAGAATAAGTGAAAATGACATAGCAGTAATATTAATTAATTGTAGGAAACTAAGATTTTTAAAACAAGATTCTAAATATTTTTATTTTTCACAGGGCTAGCATGCTCTCCTGACTGGAGAAAAAATGCTAAAATCTCTTAATGATAAAAGATTAAATTTCTTGCTTCCATATTTGCTTGAGGAGGGATGATGAACCTTTTTGTCTGGAAGTGCAGTTTCTAGAGTAATTTGTTGGCTTAATACTTTTGATTTTATTTGAATTTCGAAAGGTACATTTCTATGGACCACACCTGTTTTACTGTTGTGAAGGGTTTACCACTTGGGTAGTAATGCTTTTAATTTATATTAGTCTGCAGAAGGTGAGTGAGCTTGATGTGAATATTCACTTATACAGAAGGCTTTTATTTAATTTGCCCCTCTCTTACTTTATGGGAAAATCTCTATTTTCTTCTTACAAAATAAAAAATGTTACTGAGTGTGGAAGTTGCCCAAAATTTTTATAAATGCATGTGTACAATTTTTACAAGAACTCTACAGTTAAAACTGATTTTTCAGTTCAGACATGCTTTTCTGCATTTTGTTTCATTTCCAAAGAATTTAGTTTAAAAGGTGGTAATTTAATAATGAGAACAAAAGCTAACGTAAGATTTTCTTCTCTTTCATTGACTTGGATTAAATTCCAACTTGAAGTATGTGATACTTTAATACTAGCTAAAGAGTTCTTGTACTGAATACCATACATCTTCTCCATTAACATATGAAAATAAAGACAGACTGTTATTTCCAAGCAGTTAGTAAGCTTTGAATTTGCATGGATGTTTATTTATATGCATACAGATGTCGTTCATCATACTATATGAAGTATCATGATATATATGCATTTATGGGTCTATACTGTGGAGAATCACGGTAATGTTTCACTCTCGCACACTTTATTTGGGAGATATGCTGAGTTTCCACAAGACAATTATTTTGTAGGTTGAACATAAGCACAACTTTCTTCTGTGTTGTCATGTGTCTAGAAAGATGTTTAATTTGTTCTCTGATGGATTTCTTGAGGATTTGAGGCAAAGTTCCTGCTCTGCTGGAGTTGATCTATCTCCAAAATTGCAGATACTGCTCCTGTTTCTATAGCTCTTTGTGTAAGGATTTCAGACCCTAGTGTTTTCTAGACCTTCTTTTGAAATTTTTCATAAATAGTTGGCAAGACTACCTTATTCCATTTTAGTAAGAACATATAGTAAATGAGACAATGGGGACAAAAAAAAATGTCTTTTTTTTTTTTTTCATCTACATGTAAAGGCTGTGTCTTGATAAGGAATAGCAAGTATATCCTGAAACTTCTACTACATTATATTTTTATCTGGAATAATGAATACATGCTCTTCTCATCACACTGTGGTATCACTATTGTGTGAAATCCAATAGGAAGATTACTTACTTGTCCTGAAGAGGCTTCTAACAGTATTACTTAGTACTTCTTTTCTATTTAAATGCTATTCTCACAGATGAACACGAGAATGAGAATTGTTTGGTTTACATCATCTTCTACCTTGATTTTAGAAAGGAATTTGATACTGTCTCCCATGGCATCCTTCTAACAAAGCTGAGGAAGTGTAGGATACACAAGTGGACAGTGAGGTGGGTTGAGAACTGGCTGCCTGGCAGAGCACAGAGGTTGTCGTTGGTGGTGCAGAGTCTGGTTGGAGACCTGTAACCAGTGGTGTCCCCCAGGGGTCTGTGCTGGGTCCGGTCTTGTTCAACATCTTCAATGACCTTGATGAGGGGATGGTGGCCACCCTCAGCAAGATTGCTGATGATACGAAGTTGGGAGGATTGGCTGACACACCTGAAGGCTATGCTGCCATTCAGCGAGACCTGGACATGCTCGAGAGCTGGGTAGTAAGAAACTGGATGAGGTTCAACAAAAGCAAATACAGAGTCTTATACCTAGGGAGGAATAATTGCATGCACCAAAATGAGCTGCTGGAGAGGAGCTCTGCAGAGAGGGATCTGGGCATCCTGGTGGACAACAGGTTGGCCATGAGCCAGCAGTGTGCCCTCGTGGCCAAAAAGGCCAATGGCATTCTGGGGTGCATAAAAAAAGAGTGTGGCCAGCAGGTCGAGGGAGGTGATCCTCCCCCTCTACTCTGCACTGGTCAGGCTTCATCCGGAGTACTGTGTCCAGTTCTGGGCTCCCCAGTACAAAAAAGACAGGGATCTCTTGGAGAGACTCCAGCGAAGGGCCACAAAAATGGTGAAGGGCCTGGAGCATCTCTCCTATGAAGAAATGCTAAGTGAACTGGATCTATTTAGCCTTGAGAAAAGACGACTAAGAGGGGATCTAATCCAGGTTTATAAATATCTGAGGTGTGGGGGGCCATAGTGGTGAGTCCAGTCTCTTTTCAGTGGTATATGGAGACAGGACAAGGGGAAACGGACACAAGCTGCAGCATAGGAAGTTCCACACAAATGTGCGCAAGAACTTCTTTATGGTGAGGGTGACGGAGCACTGGAACAGGCTGCCCAGGGGGGTTGTAGAGTCTCCTTCTCTGGAGATGTTCAAGTCTTGCCTGGATGCCTACCTGTGCGACCTGGGGTAGGGAACCTGCTTTGGCATGGGAGTTGGTCTTGATGATCTCTAGAGGTCCCTTCCAACCCCTACAATTCTGTGATTCTGTGATGAAATACCTCAAACTCTGAAATACACTGACACTAGCTGATGAACTTACTTGTGGCCTTTTGTCAGTGGAATGCAATATAAAATTGCCAGAAAGTCCTTCCCTAGCTGGCTTGATGAGGACATCATGCCCCTTATGTAAGTGGCCAAGATCTGATTCTGAATTTTAGAAAAAAGTATTTAAACTTGACTAAACAAAGTAAGCAATATTCAAAGGCTGCAAAATCATTTCACTCCTTTATTTCTAGTTAAATATATGTAGCTGTAGAAAATGTAAAATCTCAAGCAATATGACTTTTTTTTTTTGTTTGAGTTGTCTTCTTTATATTTTGTAATATATGTTATGTGTAGTTATATATTTATAAACATTTGTTTAGCCTTCTGTTTGTAGAAGTACAGCCTGCTGGTTTACAGTATTTATCATTGGATGCCTTGCTCTCAATAGTACAAAAGGCAGCTAGGTTAAGACAATCCTTATCTACTGTGAAATTAGTAATATCACAAAATTTTTCATAAGAAAAGAGAGCTTTTCTCA